GAGGGTTTACTGAGGAAAGGGAAAATCACACTATAATCATGGTGGAAGCCTTGCAGTTTTTTTTTTTTTTTTAGTCCCAACCCAACTTCAAAATTTTCACAACCCAACCTTCTATTTTTGGGTTGAGTTCCAGGTGAATTGTCGAGTTGTCAAAAAAAATTTTAAGTTTTATTTATCCACATTTATAATTATTTGGACACAATCTTAGATAAAATATATTAAAAGTCCACAAACAAACTCAAATCAATCTATAATTATTCATATAAAGCGAAATTGGTAACCTATTAATATAGTTCAACATTATCATAAAATTAAAGGCAGCTAAATATCGACATTTTTGGTAATATATTAACATAGTTTAACATTGTCATAAAACTAAATACAGCTAAATACTGTCATTTCTTGAGAATTTGCTAAAGTCATGAAATTAAATAAATAAACCTGTGGTATATAACAAAAATAAAAATATTAATAAAAAAAATAATATAAAAGAAATTAAACAAAATAATAATAAAAAAATGTATATCATCGAACTCGAGCGTGAGTGTCCTTAGAGAAGTAAGTACTACTCTAACAAACCTATTAATACAAAAGATTCTTAATATAATTTATATATTTTTATTTGGCTTGGGTCAACTCGAAGGTTTTATCTACGAACCTAAAATCGAATTGATTCAGTTCGGGTTCAGGAAAATGAACCAACTCTACCAAAATACTAATCCAACACAACTCAATCTTTATAGTTTAGGTTGGGTTGGTCCAGATTATCCATTGTCGGGTTGAATGTACACCCCTGCTACTTACCTTGTCTCAAAGGTAATTATAATATCGGTAACTTTTAATTCTTAAACTAAAAGAAATTTAAAAATATTTCTTATTGTTACCCGTTTATCTTTTTTTTTCAATTTCGAAAATATTTTAAAAGTTTTATTAGGGTCATTTCAAAAATAATTAACTGTTATCAAAAATAAATTTTAGTAAATAAGTAATTCTTTTATTTAATAATTTATTTTGTCAACATATTCTATATATATTTTTTAAAAATTATTACTGGTTTATTATAACTAAATAATTATTTATTTAGTTTAGGTTTAGAAAAATCAATATCATTTTTTATTTTATAAAATTTTCTAAAAAAATAACACAATATTTCAAAATCAACTCATTTAACTAAACCCGTTATAAATAACATACTGACAGTAATGGTATATTTGCTGAAAGACCATAGAAGTATGTTGGGTCTACATCGTAGGCCGGTCTACATAACTTAACAACCTCTAGGGTTTTAATACCAACTGTAACGCCCTTAATTTTTTTTGTCCTAAATTAGTGACGTCACCACATGTATGCTTTAAATAACTTAAACGGCGAAAATTCATAATTAAATATTTAATATCGAAACCATGGACTTGCACATTTAGTTCAAAAAAAAAAATTAAATAACATAGTCTTTTAACCTGAAATATGAAGCAACCATCTATCAACCATCTTTACTTCCATGGTCATTCCAGTATTCACTGTGAAAAATATAAGTGACTCAGTGTCAGGGTTAGTAATGCAATCACACACATAACATGATAGGACTTATCCTTAAAAACAGTAACATGGTCTTTAATTCTTTCTAGTTCTAGGTAGGGTTGGATGTGTGGTACTTCCCCACACGTGACCCACGCACGCACACATGGACCAACAGGCGGGCTCGAATATAAGCCCCTTGGGCCTGGCTTGATTGAGAACAACACGTTACATGTTACCAAATGCCACAGAAAAGGAAAGGCCCGCATGATATCATGGCAAACATAAATATTGAAGGTACACGTTCGTACTAACATAACTTAACAAGGAAGTATCTCGATAAACATGACATACATATATGCATGAGATCCTCATGAATTACATTCATAGTATTGATACTCGGAGCGAGGCGCAGGTCTCGGGTCGACGCGTGGATTAGGTTTCTATGTTCGATCTGGGCTTGGGTCTCGAGCAGTGGGTTGTTGGGTCATGGATATTGCAATGGCATGACCTACCCAAAACAGAAACCGAAAGCTAATATCCGACCTTACTGTTCGTCTTCCTCGCCCGATAGGTACCGAGAATGAGAGCTTCGATTTTCCTTCATCTCCAGCGACACATTCTGTGTCTAATTCCACTACCCACAGCGACCGAGAAGGTTTTGGTGGTCTACTACGTCCACTACAACGTCGAAGTTACCTCAGAAAGGAAAGGTTCACGTCTTCAGTGTGAGATTCGCCGGTGGTTCACGTGAATGGCTTGTCGTGGAAGTTGGTAGCCAAAGTTGTCTCGTGGCCGTCGATCGAAGAGAGAGAAGTTGGGGATTGAGAAAGAGGAAGAAGAACGGGGGAGAAGAAAGAATTTGATCTTTTTACTTATCTAATAATAATACCTAAAAAAATAAGAAATTCTCGAGACAAGTAACCCTACTATTGGAGTCGAAAAATACCATCACATGCAATACAGTGGGACTTGTCCTTTCATAAATAAGAAATACTTAGTAAATAATCTCATTATTGGAGTAAAAAAAATACAATCACATGCAATATGGTGAGACTTATCCTTTCATCAAAATATTATGGTATGATCTTTGGCTCCGCTTTCTAGTCCGTGTAGTACTTCGGACCCACGACTCATGCACGCGCACGTGGACCCACCAGGAAGACTTGTATGCGTATCCCTCGGCTTGGCTCGAGCGCACACTCATACAACCAGACACCATGAAGGAAAATGGGTTCACATAATATCATGACGAACTAAATATCATAAGGTATGCATCCATACTAATCATAACGGGAAAGTATTTTAATGCATGTGATAGATATAAATGAATGAGGTCCCCGTATCTTAAGATCATAACATAAGTTTATGATACAAGTAATGCCTCCATTCATTCGTAACGTAATGATCCTATGAAGTATGCACATATTGTAGCATAACTTATAACATGATATAGCTTAACATAGTCTAACATAGCATAGCATAGCATAACGTAACATGGTAGGTCATGACATAATATAACATAACACAGTATGACATATGTCAAACAATCATAGTCATGACACGTGTAGGGGCCATGAGGCACGTGTCATCATACGTCATACGATTCGTCCAACCAAGCCAACAGTTAAGTCATTTACTTAATTGGCCTAAGCCGAAATCACTAATTTGTTCCTCGAAGTCTAACTCAACCTACACGGGTCCACGACATTGGGTTAGAATATATTAATGAGCTTAACTCATCTAAAGACATCGAATAATCCTACTTTTTAGCGCAAATGATTTGAATTGAACGAACATGGATTGTACTAACTCCAAAATGGTAGAAAAGGTCCCAAAAATTCAATTTGAGCCATCTAAGCCGAAGAAATTGAGCCAAAGCTGCCAAGTGAACTGCGAAGCCAAGAAGCCACATGTTTGGAGAGTTGAATGGGAGTGATTGAGGCGCTAGAGTTGACTTGAGTCGACGCACAAATCATGAACCAAGTCGTAGGTCAACAGTGGATCATGAACCACGCGTCAAGTTGAGGCATGGGTTGTCGGGTCATGGTTCGAGTTGGATTGTCTCGAGTTTTGGATTGGCTAAGTAGTTTGAGGCTCTAGGTCAAATATAGGGTCAATAGGTCAGTTTGGGTTTTGGACCGCGGGTTTGGGCTGGCATGATGATGGGTTGAACGCATGAAGGTTACAACCCGAACCAACGAAATTTGGCAGAAAAGGGAAGAGTTTAAAATTTCAACTTATCCCAATTAGTTTTTTCTACATCGATCTCTGTTTTACCCACCAAATCTACAGAACATTGAGAAGTTTGGTGAGTATTCTCAAATAGATCAACTTTTAGTCGAAGGAATAATTATTTATAATAAAATGGAATTTAAAAAAGTGACGTGAATCAAGTAGTCTACAAGAAATCGATCTCTCTAAACCCACCAAATCTACAGAACATTGAGAAGTTGGTGAATATTCTCAAATTGATCAACTTTTAGTCAAAGGAATAATTATATACGATAAAATGGAATTTGAGAAAGTGACGTCAATTTAAGTAGCATATGAGAAGTCGATCTCTCTTTTACCTTTATGTGTACCTTTCAACGAGTAATCATATCGCATATATTCCTTGCATAAGTCCAATCGTAGCCATTAAAAGTATCAATTTTTGATACCATTCCTACTCAAAAGGCTGATATACACATTGTGCGGCTAATACCCCAACTTTTGGCATGATATGCGCCGTTGCGCTGCGCCTTCAACTCATCTCCCCCACTCATAGTGCCCAAAAGACCGATTAAAAAAACAAAAAAAAAAAAAAACCATTTGTATATTGAAAAAAAAAATGTAACTATATATATTTTTTAATTTAATTTTTTTAGTATGTCGGTCGAAATTTAAAAATTTTGGGTGGATAATAATTTAAAGTGATGTATTTCATTAATGTATTTTTAAGACTTTTTATTTTTAGAGTCATTTTGAGACTATAAAAAACTTTACTATTTGTGTTTTTTTTTTTTTCAATAAATTACTTATATATTTAGCCCCAAAATTTTGAATTTTTTTTAAAATTTTGAAACTAATTATTAAAAAAAATACTATATTTCAAAAATAAAACTAAAAAATTAAAAAAAAATGAAATAATGATCAAAACCATACTAAAATAATTATATAAATGAATAAGATATTAATTATGATCGGAAAGTCATCTATTTATGTCAAGTTTTCAGCCAACAAAAAATAATATAATATAATAATAATAAATAAATAAATAAGAATCAATATTTGAAATTTTGATGCGCTTTCACGGGACCATTAGAATGAAAAGTCAAAAATGGAAATCCGATCCATTAATATTTGTCGCCAAATTCCAAAAATTCAATTCCCACTTCTGAATTGCAACCCTTTTCGTCCCGTCGCTTCCAATTCCTAAATTATTAAGTTCTTCCATCTCACGTCCAATAGATATATATATATATATATATACAGAGTGGGGTTAAGAGCCAAAATTCCCTTTTCCTTTTCCTTTTCCATCAACAGCTCCCAAAATCAGCATAAATTCTAGAATTCAGATGCTCATTCGCATTCAAACGCCGGTTATCACTCGTGTTCATATTGCCAACTCTTCTCATCTCTCGATTTCCACGCCGCATCTGTTGTTGTTTACCGAATTCTATTCTGTTCCTTCTTTCTCAGTACTTCAAATCCTTGGATTCCGAATGAGAACTGCATCGATTGTTCTTCAGTTGGGTCTGTAATCGGTCCTTCAATTTGGATTCCTGTTCTCTGGATTGTGCGATTTATCTGTTCTAATCTTGTTTGAGCGTCGAAACGAGACAATAATGAGGAGTTTCAAGGATTTTTGCACGAAGAAGACTCTAATCGGTCTTGGGTTGGGACAATTTTTGTCTCTTCTTATCACTTCCACTGGATTTGCATCCTCTGAACTCGCTAAAAGAGGTGCATTCTTCGTGTTTTTCTGCATCTTGTTCTTGTTTATGGTTTTTTTAATTGAATTTGCATGTGCTATTTTGAGTTGGGAATATGAGGATTCAATGTATTGTAATTACTTTTGGTTTAAACTTCATGTACTTTAGCTTAATCGTTTTGATTTAGTGGTAACACTTGATCCTACTGTGCAGGAATTAATGCACCAACATCACAGTCCTTTATAAACTACGTTCTTTTGGCTATTGTCTATGGAAGTATAGTACTCTATCGTAGAAAGGCACTCAAGGTGATTGTGATACTTGTTTATTTGATATCTTTTAAACTGATTGAATGAGTAGCCCTTGAAATTTGATGGTTGATGGAGTAAGAAGTTAAGCAATTGAATGTTTGCATGTTGTTGAAGTTTCTCAGGCGATCTAGCCTCACTTCCTACACAACTACCTTGTTTAGTTAGATGGCTAAAGGTGGCTGCTACCGCGCCATAATGATTTAGTTGCTGAATTAGAGATGTGAAGTATTGTGAGATCTTACGAGAGGGGAATGAAACATTCTTTTAAGAGTGTGGAAACCTCTCCTTAGTAGCTGGGCCCCGACGGGAGTGGATTGCGAGATCCCACATTGGTTGGAGAGGGGAACGAAACATTCTTTATAAGGGCGTGGAAACTTCTCCCTAGAAGCTGGGACTCGAAGGGGGTGGATTGTGAGATCCAACATCGGTTGGAGAGGAGAACGAAACATTCTTTGTAAAGATGTGAAAACCTCTTCCTAGCAGCTGAGCTTCGAGGGGGGTGGATTGTGAAATCCCACATCTGTTGAAGAGGTGAACGAAACATTCTTTATAAGGGTGTGGAAGCCTCCCTCTCCCTAGCAGCCGGGTCCCGAGGGGGGTGGATTGTGAGATCCCACATCAGTTGGGGAGGAGAACGAAACATTCTTTATAAATGTGTGGAAAGTGGAAACCTCTCTCTAGTAGACGCATTTTAAAAACCTTGAGGGGAAGCTCGAAAGGGAAAGTCCAAAGACGACAATAACTGCTAGTAATGGGCTTTGGGCCGTTACAAGTGTTGTGTGATCTTACTCATAATTGTTGAACTTGGCTTGATAACAGAAATTTCTATTGCATGCGTGAATTTCTTACTTGTCTCCTTTCTAAATCTTTCAGGCAAAATGGTACTTCTACATACCTTTAGGCTTGGTAGATGTAGAAGCCAACTACCTTGGTATGGATAATTTTATATTCTTTGAGAAATATACAAAACCAAGCTTTATAAAACATGATGAAACTAAGAACCTTCTGGTTTGTAGCTTCATAAAACTATGCCTAAATGTTTGATAATTCGAAACTGAGATGCAGTTGTGAAGGCATATCAATACACATCTTTAACAAGCGTGATGCTGCTGGATTGTTGGACAATCCCTTGTGTGATGCTGCTCACCTGGATTTTCCTAAAAACAAAATACAGATTCAGGAAGATAGGCGGTGTCGTCGTGTGTGTTGCTGGCCTCGTCGTGGTTATCTTTTCTGATGTTCATGCTGGCGACCGAGCTGGTAACGACACAAGCCCCTTTATGCCCTCTACCCCCTAAATTGATATTTGCTTGTATTCACGTACACCAATAATATGAGTTGCAGGAGGAAGCAGCCCACTTAAAGGGGATGCTCTTGTTATAGCTGGTGCTACCCTTTATGCTGTTACCAATGTCAGCGAGGTAAGGCTGCAACTATGCACTAGCATTTACCTTTTTACCTTACAATTACTCTGAACACTTGGTAAATGTCAAAATTTCACTGTCTGGTGAAGGAATTTCTGGTGAAGAATGCTGACAGAGTTGAGCTAATGGCGATGTTGGGTAGCTTCGGTGCCATCATCAGTGCTATCCAAATGTAACCTTAGATTTATGTCTGTCTCAATTGTTTCTGAAACTCGCATTTTTCGCTGTTCTTATGTTTCCCTTGATGGTTTCTTTAGAAGCATAATCGAGCGCAAAGAGTTACGATCGATTCGATGGACTCCAGAAGCAGTAAGCTCTCTCTCTCTTAATCTCTCCTAGAATTTGATACTCCAATGTGTAGCAAATTGTTTGTTGTTTCAGGCCATTCCTTTTGCTGGATTCTCTGTGGCTATGTTTTTTTTCTACTCGCTTGTCCCTGTATTACTTCAGGTATGTTGCTATTGATGAACACATAATGAATGAACTGTGAAGTTGCAATTTGGTTCTGAACATATATACTTTCACAGATCAGTGGATCCACAATGTTGAACCTGTCCTTACTCACCTCGGACATGTGGTCCATTGTGATTCGTGTCGTCGCGTATCATGAGAAGGTCTGTGATCACCTGGTTTTTTGTTTTCGTGTGTCGTATTGGGTGTTTTGTATGTCTAAATCAAGTCGGTTTCTGCAGGTTGATTGGCTTTACTATTTGGCCTTTGCTGCTGTTATCATTGGACTCATTACTTATTCAGTGTATGTTATCTCTATCATTCTACATTCTTTTTACGTTACATTTCCTGGAAAGTGCTCATAATGTAAGCATATATACCACTAGGGAAGTTCTATTGTAGTGTTCTTAGATGGATGATTACCTGCATGATGGTTACTGATGAGTTTCTTATATTTCGGGTCGTGTTAGATGTCTATTGTAATATAGTACGAGAATCACCATCTTAGCCACTACAATAATGTAACGGACCAAGCCTACCACTAACAAATATTGTCCTATTTGGGCTTTCCCTCAAGGTTTCTAAAACGTATCTATTAGGGAAAAGTTTTCACACCCTTATAGAGAATGTTTCGTTCTACTCCTCAACTGATGTGGGATCTCATAAATAATGTATTTTATTGCCCTTTCTTTCCTGTAAGTGATCACTGCTTGAGCGTTTTTTGACCGATGCTACATAAACCATTATTGCACTTGCCCTTGAGGATTGAGAATCGTATTTGTAGTTTTTACGCTTGTAAAAGGTACTGTAATTCATGGTTATGTTGCTCTTTCCTACCTGAACTCGAATCTCTAAATGCAGGGGTGAGAGAGAAGAAGAAGATCGACGTCGAACTAACGTTGATGTAGAAGCCGAGCATGACAAACGTCCATACAAGGAATGCCCACCGGAAAACCGGTACTAGGAACAGCAGGTAGCAGTTGGAAGATCTGAGAGGGTAGAAAAAATGAAAATCTTGGGAGAAATAAGTAGTGTGGTTCCTAGGATGGATTAGAAAAGAAGTATTTAGAGTTGTACTTATTTTTTGTTGGCCTTTTGATGGGCTCTCATTCTCCAATAATAAAGTATGAAAGTTTTGAAATCTTCCCCAATAACCTCTGGATCTCAACCAAATCACATTCGGCTATACAATTATGATCTCAATCTAAGTATACCACTAGTAAATAATGTCTACTTAACTCATGAAATCTTCCCCAATAACCTCTGGATCTCAACCAAATCACATTCGACATTCATAATGATCTATACAATTATGATCTATACAATTGTCCTCTCAATCTAAGTCTACCACTAATAAATAATGTCTACTTAACTCATTTTGATTCATTACTCTCCAACCAAGCTAAGATCTCAATAATAATTTATTGAAGGTAATTGAAGATCACAACAAGCATCTCGTTGGAAATCGAATGCAGACACCACTATGTCTCAACTCAGATCACCTAGTACGTTCAACAACTCAAATCACCTAGTACGTTCAAGCCATTGCAATAGAGATTTAGACCACTGAGCATGTAATAACTAGATTACTCAGATCACCTAGTACGTTCAACAACTCAAATCACCTAGTACGTTCAAGCCATTGCCATAGAGATTTAGACCACTGAGCATGTAATAACTAGATTACATAATTAGGATGTGAGCAAGGCTCAATGTGGTCAGATAGAAGATAATCTTTTGAAGTTTTCTAGATTTTGAGCTATCATAAGTTTTGACAATTATTGATCTCATCTTGGTAGGAGCAACAAAAATCCAGAGAAGCCAAAAGAGTTACCTAAATCACATGCTCCATTTGATCACATAATTAGGATTTTCATATCAAATATATTCTCAATTTGATCTTAGAGAGAAAATCCACAGAAGCAAAAGCAAAACAGATACAGACTAACTAAACGTGGATTCTACATTTCAAATTCTCTCACTTACACCATTAATCGAAAACTTCACAGCTCTCTAAGCTCTCTCACCTCTAATCCGCCTGGCCAATTGAATATCCTTAGGCATAATCGTGACTCTCTTAGCATGAATCGCACACAGGTTAGTATCTTCGAACAATCCGACGAGGTAGGCCTCCGCCGCCTCCTGCAGAGCCGCAACGGCGCTACTCTGGAATCGGAGATCGGTCTTGAAATCCTGAGCGATTTCTCTAACCAGCCGCTGGAACGGAAGCTTTCGGATAAGAAGCTCGGTGCTCTTCTGGTACTTCCTGATCTCCCTCAGCGCAACAGTCCCTGGACGGAATCTGTGCGGCTTCTTGACTCCTCCGGTCGCCGGAGCCGATTTCCGAGCAGCCTTAGTCGCCAATTGCTTGCGAGGAGCCTTACCGCCGGTGGACTTTCGGGCTGTTTGCTTGGTGCGAGCCATTAACGCGTCGTAGGAGATTAAGCTTCTTAGAGACAATGTAAATGTGAATGATATATTTTGATGCTGAAGATCGGGAGAGACGAGTATTTATAGGAGACTACGGGGAGTATGGAGGGTGATTTTGGACGGTCGATTGGAGTTTGTATTGACGGTTGAGATCTTTTTTAGACTCAATCACGCGGATCGCGATCCAGACTTTTGGCGGACGAAAATTTGGGAGGGGGGAACCAAAACTCCAAAAATGATCTGTTTTGGCGCCATGGTTCTTTTTCGGATTTTTTTTTTTTTTAAGTTACATTTTAAATTATAAATTGTATGAATATTTAGATAATTAATTTAGTCATTAAATATTCATTTAAAATCTCTTAAATCAAATTATTTTTCTTCTTAAATATTATTAAAATAATATATATATATATATATATATATATATATATATATATATATTTATTTCTAAATAAGTATAGAAATAATATAGTGTAAAGCAAAAGAAAAAAAAAACAACAAAACAAAACAAATACGTAACTTAGTACCTGTTCGCTCGGTATTCTCTTGTGACATGGTCAGGTGATCTACTACTTACTTCTTAAGAGTAAAGACTATCCCCACAAACCAACTCGAGCACTTCTAACATGTTTTGTCATCACTCACATGCATCTCAGGAAAATTCATAGGAAGTCACCTAACATAGAATTGTTCCGGCTAAAGCATGTTTAACCACAGAGATCCTATGATAGAGCCATCGAAAAGAAAGGTACACCTTGTTCATGTAAATAGTGACTTTCAATTCTTTTGAGCCTTTATATTCATTCTATCTTCATAATCACTCTAATTCATATGTAATCTCGGTTGTTTCATATACCCCTTATTTACTCAGGTGTCACATGCTCCTATGCTTAAGATTTGGAATCCATATTCGACACCTGATCGTCTCAGAATTCTATCGCATCCCTTACAACATTGTCACATTACCTACTCCTCACTTTTAAAGAGTAAAGACTATCCCCACAGACCCACACGATTCCGTCTAACATGATTGTTTTCACTCACATGCATCCCAAGAAATAGGAGGTCATCCAACATAGAATTGCTCAAAGAACACTTAACCATAGGGTTCCTATGAGCCACTGAAAAAGAAAGGTCTATCTAATTGGTATAAGTACCGACTTTCAATTCTTTTGAGCTTTTCTTAATCGTCTTATCCTTAAGAACACTCTCATTTAGATAAAATTTTCCCAATATATACAAACAAAAAAAAAATTACATAGACATGTCATATTAGGATTTATATTAGGGCTCCTAATTAGTTATTTAGGGTTAATAATAATTTTGATTATTTTACCCACAATTTAATTTTGTCGCTCGTATGAAAAATTTATTAGTGCAATTCGGAACATTATATAGTTGACCTACAGGAGTATCATGTTTAAATAACAACCTGAATGGTCTATAGTATATGGATAAGGTTAGGTGCATTTACCTGATATCAGTTCTACTACGATTCATTTGTTACAAATAAAATCAAAGTTGGTTCCAAGACTTTAGTTCACGAATGAAACGTTCATTCCCAACACATTGACCATTAAAAAAATGATACTTTGTTCACTCGATGTGAGGAAAAATATCTTCTGACCTCGATCAAACAATGAATAACTTCTTGATCCTAAAATATCACATTTTAATTAGATATGTTTATTTAATTCATGGGGACCTACTTCGAACGGGACGAAGAATCTCCATTTACAAACGTCAATTATAATAATAATACATACATAATCGTAATAAAAAAAAACAAAAAATGGTTTGGAATGGGTATGCGGCCTCAAGCAACTCTTCTTGGACAAGCATGATCGTGAATCCTCTTCCACTTAATTGGTTGATGTCTCTGTCAACTGACTCTCCAGGAACCAACAATGAAGATTGCAGCTCACTTGAGGTCTTTAGACACGTTTCTAGCTGATCTTAGCAACAAGGAGTCTCTTCGAGTTTACCAGAACCTCTTATACCTATTTGATTTGTCAACTGGTTGCATCTTCTCAATCAAGATCTCTCTAGGATTCTTCATTATGGTAGGTGGGTCATGTCACCTTACTGTGTTTGGTGTCTCGTTAATTGGGATTGTAGGGTTTTACGTACATGGACAACATGGTTAGTTCTCATCCATGAAAGCTCGATTAGAACATTCTTTTCAATTTGGAGTTCTCGTGGCTTGTGTTTTCGATTGACCCATTTCTTCAACTGTATGGATGTTTTTTCCTAAGTTAGCATGAGCTACTTCGTAGGTTTGTCACTACAATTTGGTGAAGTTGTTGGCTTGGAGCCTCTTTCTAACATACCCGTGTTAATTAACATGAGCCTTTGCGGGTCTAATGACATTGAGGTTCAACAAGGCATTAGCTACTTATAAAGCTCAGTTAGCTTGAGTTGAATTGTACGACACATATTTCTAACGGGCGGTTTTACCCCCTATAATAAACTAATATCATGATCTATTCCTTTAGGTGGAAAACCCTTTAACTTTTTGGCCCCATGTCACGGTGTATCCTAGAAATTGCTGGATCTCTGTTGGAATTGGCTCACTCCAACTTTCATCTTCAACCATGGAGACGACAACAAGAGTGGGTTCATTATGGGTATGCCTTGTTTCAGTTGTAGAGATATCCAAGAGGCGGAGCGGGGACGGGGAAGCCTTCCCCGTCTCCATCCCTGCCACCTATTTCACTCTCCATGTTCGCCAAATCTCTTTTTATTTTTAACTCGAATTAGAGAAGGAATTTCCACGTATAATTTTTCTTCCTCTACTATTATTTTTTGAAAAAAAAAATATAGATATAATCAATTTAATTAAAGTTTATTATTAATCGTAATTGAAAGATTAAAATAACATTTTTTATTTTTATAAAAGATTAAAGTTTATTATTAATCGCATAGAACCAAACTTACAACGATGAAATAATTTAGCAAAAGGTAACCATAAATTAATAAAGAGAGTAATTATAAGATGGGTTGAAATTAAAATTTAAAAAAAGTCCGGTCGTAATCTTAGTCTTAGGAAAGTCTGTTGGTAAATTGAAAGAACGCTGATGATCTCTCGTGCTTACCTCTCCCTGAAGCCTTTGTTTCTTTGAAGCTTTGCTTCGCACTTTGATTTCCCAAAGGAATTTTGAGCTGCTTACACAGATTCAGCGGTGGAAATTGGCTGTTGCGGCTCCAGCAATTTGACTTCTAATCACGCTTCTACTGTAAGTTTTGATCCTTCTTCCAATTTTAAGTGCAAGATTGTTCATGTTGTTCATATGAATTGCCTGAAGGAAAGGGGTTTGGAACTAGTAAGTGTATATCTCACACGTCGCAAGGTATGCCGAACAAGTGTTCGACGAAATGCCCAACTGATCTGGATTCTTAAAACATCGGGAACTAACCAACTTTAAACCTCAACTTGTGGTGCAATCAGTACCCAATACGTTAACATTCCAATTTTTTTACTATTTGTGGCTCTGGCCATGAATATTTTTGGCGTTGGTGGAATTTGTGACTTGATTTTGAGTGTTTTGTATGATCTATTAGGTGGGTTGTGATCGATTTTCTAACAAAATATTTGAAGTTGCTGGAATTCATATGTTGCTGATGAATGGTGGAAGATGGTGAGTTGGTTGTTTAGCAGGGTTAAGTTCTGTGGTTTCCCATGTAAAAACCAGAGAGGATCGAATTTAAATCACCTACAAAGTCGTTATCTGGTAAACATAAAACTGAAATGGGTGAAAGATAAAGACTTAGATTCTGTAGTGAGTGCTGAGAAGGACCTCAAGGCTGTTTGCTTTCTTGTATCCATAATCTCTTCAAGTCTTGAACAATGCGTACCGATCTACCGTCTGCGTTGCCATCGTCGGCAGCTTGGTCTTCCGAATGATGTCAAGATGTCTACCTTTATTAGGAGATACCCTTCTATCTTTCATGAGTCACATATTCGTGACAGTGCAGGCACTCCTGTGCCATCTTTTGGCTTAACTCCAGAGGCTAGGGAACTTTATGAGGAAGAAATCGTTGTCGTTCGACAATGTTGGACGGATATTCGATCTAGGCTTTGCAGATTGCTAATGCTCACGAGTGGTACGACACTTCCTTTACAGACAATTGACCAGTTGAGATGGGACATGGGGCTGCCATATGATTATCGGAACTCTTTCATTCCATATAACCATGACTTGTTTTCATTTGTCCAGCTCCGTGATGATCGAGTCGGGTTGAAACTTCTATCCTGGGATGATGATCTTGCTGTTTCTGAACTGCAGAAGAACGCTGGTTCCCAACAGGTGGAAGAAGACGTAAGAAATGGCTGTTTGGCCTTTCCAATTGGATTCACAAGAGGTTTTGGATTGAGGAGAAAATGTATGGATTGGTTAAAAGAATGGCAGAAGCTTCCTTACACTTCTCCATATTGTGATGCCTCCCATTTGGATCCCCGTACCGATGCGTCCGAAAAGAGGATTGTCGGAGTCTTTCATGAACTTCTCCACCTTACCTTGCAAAAGAAAACCGAACGCAAGAATGTAAGCAACCTCCGCAAACCGTTCTCTATGCCTCAGAAGTTCACAAAAGTGTTCGAGCGTCATCCTGGTATCTTTTACATCTCTAAGAAGAATGACACACAGACTGTAATTCTTCGAGAAGCATACGACGGTGACAAGCTTCTGCAGAAGCACCCTCTTGTTAGCATCAGGGAAAAATTTGCAAACATGTCGAGGAAAGGTCAACTAGATAGAAGCAGAGGTTTATACAAAAAGGAAGATCCATTTGGACATTTTCATCATGATGAAGTAGATGAAACTCGATACAGTTCCGAAGAAATGTCCGACTATAACTTGCTTTCGGAATATGATTCGGAATCAGATGACCCGATCGACAACAACTGCTGAAGAAGTTGCTATATGATTCTACGGCAACTTCTTCAGCAGTTGTGATCAAACTCTTTAAAGTCTTGCAGTAACTTGCAACTTGCCCATCAACAAGGTTTGTGTTTATCTTAGAGTACTCTTCTATCTAGTTTGTTCTTATTTCAATTGGTTTATA